CAAAACAAAGCCCGGTTCCCTTTCAAGGATGAAATTACCAACTGGCCAGCACAAAGCACTCAACCTCTGAACAGCATGATGGCAGACAAGATACAACCGAGCTGGACATCAGCTGACACAGATGATGTTAATTCACAAAACATGTCCCCTCCTCGGGTATATCCTTCCACACACACACACTCCCTTGTATAACATTTACCCTTCCAAAAAATCATGTTGCCCAGCCTGGACCTGTGCAAAGCCCCACCACTTCACCCCTTCCCCACAGATGTGCTCCTCCTTTCCCATCCTACAAAGGCTTCTCACAGCCCACATTTATCAATCCCTCCATATAGATTCACGGAATTGTTTGGGTTGGAAGGGACCTTAAAGCTTGCCCAGTTCCAACCCCCTGCCATGGGCAGGGACACCTTCCACTAGACCAAGTTGCTCCAAGCCCCTGTGTCCAACCTAGCCTTGAACGCTGCCAGGGATGGGGCAGCCACAGCTTCTCTGCAGCTTATCACACCAGCATCTTCTGTAATACTGCACACACTCATGCTGTAGAACCTAAGTGCACAGCTACCTGTATATGGCTCTTTCTATACTTTCAGTGTTGTAATCTGATTTTTTTTCCATCATTTCACAGTTTATTTTTCAAGTTGAATGTTGTTCACAGCATGGACTGACAAACCAACCCAAATAAACACCCCCCTGGATGACACAATACCAACACAGAGCAGACAGGTTCACTAAACCAGTGTCCCCTGCATACTCCTGTTACTTGTGACCAGTTGCCATGGGTGATTTCAACCTTTTGACTACACTTGCACATAATTAAACCATGCTGTGTTGGTTGCAACACAAAGAGCAAATCCAGACATTTCAAAGTGGCTGTATTAGTGTTTTTAAATTGAAAACACACAGAAAACCAACCTCTTTCTCTACAAACAGAATGGAAAGACACATTATCTCAATTTCCATTAATGCACACAGCATCACTGCCCACACTCTATAAGCTGGTAGCAATGCTCTTTTGAACAAGTCATACAGAGCCAGACCTCCAACAATGCAGAAGTAGCCCCAATGCACTCAGCAAGGCTTGCAAACCCCTCTGTTGTCCCGCCACAAGCTGTTTTCATGGCCCAGGTTCCTACCTCATCTTCAGCAGTTTTATAGGCACTGAAATCAACTGGCTGCCAGGAAAGTAATCCCAAACCACAGCAGCTATATAAAAGGAGATTTGAGCCTTTATCACTCATTCCAGGCATATGCAGGTTGGATGCAGTATTTCCACGGGGTTTGACCTCACACTGCACAAATACACACACCTTTTTTCCCTTGCCGCTGCAGAGAGCTACAAGCTGGGAGTCACAGAAATGGAACAGTTTTCCGTGGTGGAGTATAATACTTGTAGCTGCTATTGCACTCCCAAAGCCCACCCACAATTTCATTTTCAATTAACAGCTCTTAGAAAAGCAGTAATGAAAGCAGTTGCTAAAGAGCACTCGGATGTCATTGAGAGACTGCAAACCCAAACTGTAAATAGCACATTGTAAATCGCTTGTCACCACAGTCAGCTCTCACTGGAATCACACTGCCGGTGACAATCAAACCCATCTGCTCAGCTCCCCGACCAGTGTCACCACAAACCATAGAGCTAACACCCACCTCCCGCTCCACGCTCATTTACCTGTCATGTACGGGCTTGCCTAAAAGCCTGCAAAAGCCCTTCCTGACTGCAAGGCTGAATATTCCTACAGACTGTAGGATCCCAGACTGGTTTGGGTTGGAAGGGACCTTAAAACTCATCCAGTTCCAACCCCTGCCATGGGCATATGAATCTTCCAGCAGATAGAAAAAACAATGAAGGAAATGGTAGAGGCAGCAAACACCCATTGAGTAAAGAGACATGATCCCTTCCCTCTATCAAAATACTCTCAACACTTTCTGCAATGACAACTCATTGTTTCCTCGTACACCCCACTCTGCTTCAGACCTTGAGGGATAGAAACTCATTAAAAAGTATTTAGAACTTTCTGCCACCCTTTTACTGGTTATAAATGTTCCATTTCAGATCTCCAACTGATTTTTACAGAAAACACATAAAATCGCCACCGCCGATTAACGGAAAGGAAATTAAACCTAAAACGCTGGAGAAATATTCTGATGAGTCTTATGTTTGCTTAACGCCAACTAAAACTTCCTTGAGGCATAAGTACATTTATAAAAGCTCACAAAGCAGAGTTCAAAAGTCTTCTCGCTAGTAAAATATGAACCTTAATTAAGGTAGAGTTTCACATTTTGTGGATTTCAATAAACCTGCAGGCACTTCAGCAGAGCTGGATAAATACCTGCACGGATACTGCAAGGATTTTCTCTGAAAACTAATTAGCAGCCCTTCTAATAGCTGACTTCCACTAAATCTGTTTGATGAGGGAGCTTCATACTGTAAATCCTGCATGTGAGAGTTACTTCCAACAGATTACAGGCTTCACAAGAAGGTGGATCGGACACAATTGTTAATTCCTGGTAAAGCAACCAACAAGATAGCCAGGTATAAAACATTTCCCAACAGGGACAGGCTGCAGCCAAGGTTTTATGCCAGCATGGGAATGCAAGTGACAGCATTGAGACCGCATCCTGACATCCAGTTATAATATTCACACATTGCTCCAGGGATAACAGGGGCAAAATACATTGTTTACCTATAAAATACATAACCCTAATATAGCAAGGACACTCTGTATACATATATCCTGAATCACAGACCCATAGACTGGTTTGGGTTGGAAGGGTCCTTAAAGCTCATACAGTTCCAATCCCCTGCCATGGGCAGGGACACCTTCCACTAGAGCAGGTTGCTCCAAGCCTCATCTACCCTGGCCTTGAAGCATACTGAACTTTGTCTTTGGACACTCCTACTTTGCCAAGCACAAAACACAGAGGCCCCAGTTCTTGACTTCTTGCCACCAGAGAGGTTGCCAAGCAACTTGACTTCCCATTAAGAGCCTGGGAATTCAATGGGATGGAGCTGGGTGGGGAAACAAACCCAAGGTGTGCACACAAGATTCCCTCTGGGGGGAAGTGTGTTACATGGCCACAGAAAACCCACCTCAGAACTTACCATTCTCCTCCCTTTTTTTGAGGTCTTCACCATTTGTCTTGAAAGAAGACAGAAAAAGCTTACCAAAAATACTATATATAAAGGTTGTGTGGGCATGTCTTCTTAAATAAGCTTTATAGTCTTTCCCATTACATCTTTTTTCCGTGTCTAAGTGCCAAAGCCACTTGGATTTGTCAGCACCTAAACTCTTCATGAGACTAAAATGTTCTTATCTAAGAAGCTATACCCCTACCAAATGTATTAGATTTATATTGAGCAAGATATTTTATTTCCTTTCAGCCTTATCCCTCAGGAATTAAGCAGAGTACTCAGATTTATCAGCTAAAAGGAAAACCATTCTTCACGACATCTGTCAACTCAATACCTTCCCAGCCAGTGTGTATTTATTCCTAAAAACATAACCTCACAAATTGCCTCCATCAGCACTGAGGCCAATTCCTTCACAGCTTAAGTACTGGGCAGAAAGGTTTCACCTCACAGTAGGCTATGCCAGAGGAATCAAAGAGTGCAAAAAGTCAGCTCTTACCAAGGCCGGTTCCTGCTGCACAAAGCAGATATACTGACCATTTGATGTATTCAAAAGGAACAGCATGAAGACCGCATAGGTGGACACAGAAAATTGAGAAGGAAACTCAGCAATCCTCAATATGTGCTTATAATCATTGCATCAACTGTCCTGAAGAGCTTCCCCATCTCCCTTTGAAATGCACAGTAAAATTCGAAGCAATACTTTAAAGGGTATCATACTGTAGAGTGTTACAATTTGTTTTTTTTATACAATGTAGACTTAAAAATAATGGTAACATATTTTTCACCAGCTTCAGTAACTCTAAATATCAAAATGAACACAAGCCAATGTACTTGTCATTTTCAATGTTCCTTCCCTTTCCCTGAGCTCACAAGATGAGCAGCAGTGAATTCTATTTCTCTAAAAGTTTCTCTGCAAAGCAAGATCTGGTTTGCACTAAACAAGGATAAAGATTCATTCCATTAAATCAACCATCTCCATTAGAAATATAATTCTTGGTTAAAGAGTCATTAACATCACTTACATTTAGATCAAAGCTGACCTCTTCACTGTTACCTTCGACTTGAACTTCACAATGAGCCAAATGACCACACAGCACATGCTACATTTAAAATGTCCAGCTCTAATTTAGTCTTTAGTAAAAAACACACACACAAAGAACATTAATTAGAAAAGGCAAAACGTGCCTCTTTTTTCTGCATCCTGCTCACCCATGAATCTCACTTGTCACACATTCCTCTCTTTTAAAGACGATACCAAACACAACCCTGCAGAGTCCTGAAGAAGAGACCAAGATTTCCATCCTCAAGCTTTGCAACCCTGGAGCTACACACTCACTTGTGTCACGTGCGCACCAAGGGAACACCAGAGGTGGGCAGGCAGGACGCTCTTGCTTACAGGTCGGTGATGAGTAACCCAAGAGCACACACTGACATGCTACAAATGAGCTCCTTGCACCATAATCAGTCTTAAGAGCTTTGTCTTAATTAACAGCTGCCCCTCTCACAATTTCCTCACCATGTCCTTCATGCTCAGAGGGAGTCTTACACTTGTGTACCAAGTCAAGACAAGAAGGCATATTTATGTACAAAGTTGGCCTAACAACGTAAGAGACAGATCACATTTGTTTGCCCTGACAGTCTCACAGCCAGTCTACAGAAGGCTCTTTCAACCTTTGCTCATTTATTAACGAACTCAGCTCCAGCATCAATACACCACTTGCTTTCCCACTCAGTTAATCCCTTCTAGTACCGGGACATAGTTCCAAGTGGCCCAAGAACAAAACAACTACAAAGAGTTTAGAGTTACACACCATGTGCCAACAGCAGAGCCCCCCCTCCCCAAGGCAGATAACCTGCTCCCTACCTGTCTGAGGCCCTTCGGTATCTTCTTCCTTTTCCCAAAGTGCTGGCAGAGATTACGATCATTTTCTCGGTCAGAGCTGTACTGGTGGTGGTGGAGTCTGTTCTTTTTCGGGAGATATGCCAGCCCATTGGTAAGTGCTTCCCGTTTCTTCTTGGCTAGAGGATTCTGTCGCTTCTCCACACGTTCCTGAGGTTTCAGAGCTACATCCTTCTGCAGGAAGAGAAGAAAAACACAATGGTTAAGATACAGCTCTGACCTGATCGACTTTTTAAAGCAGCAATTCCTGATGACCAGCAAAGCATTCTGATGCAATGCTACAGTCACCAGAAAAGGCAAAACCAGTCTTAACTGATATCCATTTAATCAACACATAGGGAAATGCAAAATAAAATCTGTAAGATGAAGCGAGCACACGGAAGCAGACACATAATCCTTAGATTTCATACCATCAACCTCCTGATTCTCAAAACCATCTCATGCATCAAGTGAGCATGCATCTAGATGATGTACCTGTGTTTATACTGTCTAAATTGACAATCATCTTTGATTTAAACAAGGCCTGGCTTTTCACATTTATTCTGTCTTGCATTTGAGAAGCCAAGCTCTGACCTAAACCAAATCATAACCAATGAATTGCAACTCACTGTGGTGGACATTTCCCTCAAGCTAAATCTTGGCACGAGGGGGAAAGCACTGAAAACAAAAACCCAGGTTTATATTGGAAAACTTTGTTACTGACCCTTCCCTAAACCCCAGAATCAATGTCTGTCTATAAAAGACATTTGAGTCAAGTAACAAACACGAGTTCTGATGCTTAGCCTACAGCCGTTTTCTTACTGATAACCTGCAACACACAGAATTCACGGTTTTGGTTAAAATAAATGTTACTTTAAAATAAAATCTCCTGTAAAACAGAATTAAAGGCAGAGGAAGTGGAGCCTGGAGGGTCATTGGGAAAGAAGAATTAGAAGTTACTGGAAAGTGGCAAGTTACAAATCACATATGCATTTAATACATACAATCTGCCAAGTCATAGCTACTCCAAGAACTCCGTAAGTACAGTATTTCCAGATAGCAGGCATATTACTTAAACAGTGTAATACTTAAGCATACTCTACTAACATGCCTAACACTTTGACCAGGTGCTCTCCATGCTCCACCATAAAGCACTATGTGATCTTGTAAGCCTACATGCTGCTGTTCATTGTCACTTACTATTATAACCAACAGCAGGAAAGAAATTGGGCTATTGGTCCCTGTGTCACATAAAGATTCAGGTTCAGGAGAATATAATTCAAATTATGCTCCCTTTTAATGCAAAAACCCCTATGCCTACAGGCAAAAATCAGTTTGGCTTTAATTAAAGAATGCTCCCTAAATGCCTATCTAAAACACAAGAGCTTCACAAAATTCATAACTAAAACCAGTGAGAAGATTAATTAAACTAAATACAGGCAATGTTCAACTTTGATATTTGGTGAAAAGAGTGATTTTACAACCATTAAAGAAGGGACGCTGGAACAGAAGATGTAAGATACTTTATCTACCTTTTCTTCACCTAAGACACCATGGGAAATACCCAAAGCTTTCCTTCACACAGTGTTATTCATATTAGGAAAGTTGGGAGGCCTATCCAAACTCATGAAAAAAACCTTTGGGGTCTTCAGCTATAAAGCAGATGAGTACTCTAAGAACATAAAAACCCAGACTGGGTTGGGTTGGAAGGGACCTTAAAGCTCATCCAGTTCCAACCCCCTGCCACGGGCAGGGACACCTTCCACTAGACCAGGTTGCTTTGAACCCTGTCCAACGTGGCCTTGAATGCTTGAACACGGTGTTCTCCCTCCTCTGGTTCCCCCAGCTCCTATAAATGAAGTCAGCAGTAGCACAGCTCTTCTTAGTACACTTTGAGATCTACTTGCAAAAAGCCTGAAAGACCCTCCAGAGCAAGCCCAAAGTAATATAAAGCAATAAATCACTTCTCTGCGCACACCTCCCTCCTTTCCCAGGAAGGTTTTAGATTCAGCTACATGCCATGAATGCACAAAGGCTAATTCTCAGGTGTCACAGACTGCAGCAATGATTTCATCAATACTCACTGCCAATAGCTTCATCAAAACAGCAACTATAGCCACACACTGACGTCCCTGATAACAAATGCAGAGAGCCTGGCACAGCCATTCCTGCCCTCGGCCCTATCCTGCTACACTTTGTGCAACAAACTGGAAGACTGAGGTTGCAATTCCCACAGAGCAACTTCAACACAGGAAAAAAAGCACCAAGATTACATCTTGCTCAATGCACTCTATTGAAACAATGGATGTTTTATCATGGAGCAGGTTTCTGCCTCAAGATAACCATCATCTGCAGCTAATGATGCATCAATCTTAATTTCTTTTTTTAAATCATTATAAAAAACTCCAGTGCTTTAGAAGTAGTACATTATATCAGCACAGGACTTCTGCTGAAACAGAGAGCTCGTGTTTGTAGACAGAAATGCTATTAAGAGGATTCACTCTAAATGTGAAAGGTTGAAGTAGTGAAGGGAAACTTTCTGGAATTAAAAAATCAAAATTCTCCTAATGACTCAATAGCTTTAGAGGGATTTTTTTCCCCCCTCCCAGCTATGAGTGATCTAAATGAAAGAGTGGCAGGCTTCCAGAAGCTTATAAAATGCCTAATGGTGCTAGCACTGCCATCAAGAAATTACTAGCTCCCATTAGCTTTAAAGAGGGTGTGAGATGGGTCACATTTTGCAGATCCCTCTGGGATAACCTCCTCCATAAGAATCCCATTTTCCAGCCAACTGAATAGCTTCATGAATTGTCAGATACATCTAAAGAAAAGTTTAGCTTATGTCAGAATTGGGATGAAATATGGCAAAGCTGAGTGGCACCAAACCCATAAAGGCCCCTGCAAACTGGCTGCTCCACATGCACATGGTTCACATCGTGAAAGCAGGCTTCAAATCCACTTTAGTGGGTGGGCTTCTTACGAAATGCACGTATAAAGGTTGGTGTTTAGACAACCACGTTCCTGCAGAACAGCTTTTCCCCAGCTGACACTACTGCAGAGTGCTGTGGGTCATAATCTTGTTATTGAGTTGTATGCTAGAACCTCTCATTGCTTCCAATGATATATGTTTTAGCTTTAAAATACATATGTATATAAAATCTGTATTAAATTCTTCATCTGAAGGATACATTAAAAGTAGTTTGATTAGAGATCCCATGGAATGTCGGTCCTCATGTTTGAGGGTGCTCACTGCCCAGGATGATTCTGGATGCACCATAAGTACAGCAGAACAGATACAGAGGACAGATACGGATCCTGCCCTCTTGGAAGCTGTTGGGTTCAGTGGAGGCGGTGCTTGGCTGAGAACTGTGGCCCTGCATAAATCACTTCCCCACTTGCTGCCCTTTCTTCCTCATCCAATTTCTATCTTTCTGTTGTTTAGATAGGACAATAGCTCTACCGTGCCGCGTGCTAGTACATTAGCCAGCACAATCTTAATTACAGACTTTAGGCATCATCATGATTAGAGTAATAAGCTGTAATTACTCTAAGGTGACAGGACTGTGCAGACCTTATCTACACAGATAAGGAGATGTAGTAATATTTCATGTCGAGACATATTTTTCAGCAGCTACCCATGGAGTCAGTTCAAACTAAGTAGCAGACCCTGTGAACAACACTTTCATGCTTTAATGGAGGTTTTTCTCCTCTCCTGCCAGCATACAAGCCCACACATTATTAAATAAAGCCTACAAACATATTAGGCATGGTTTAAAACCATCTTATTCAGATATATCTTTCACCAGTAAAGTGCCTTAAGTGTATCAGAAAGGTGACTTAAATGTATAAATACGTAATTACATGCAACTCAATACAAAATGCATTAATATTTATGAGCATACAGTATAATCTAAAAAAATAATAAAAAAAATCCAATTGTTTGATTTCTATTGGGCACATTCATCAACCTGATCCCACCGTACGTGCCACGGTGAACGAGAGCCGCCCACGCTGAACAGACCCAGAGAGCAGGAGAGCTGCTGGAGCCCAATGAGGTGGCCCTGCAATCATCTCAGCTCCAATTCCTATCAACAACTTCAATCAAGCCATTGGTGAAAGGAGGAGAAGCAGCCTCTGCGGGTACCACAGACAGTCTCTTGAGATGGGAGGCCTGAAGGACACACGGCGTTCCCATCGAGCGTTAAGCTTTCTGGGAGCTCTGCCTGATTTATTTCAGGAGAGTTCATCTTCTTGGTATGTAAATGACAGCCCATTCATTATAAATCAGCTCCTCAGTGGCAGCTGAGCAGTGCTTCCCACTGCTTTGTGGGGTACACACTTCACCCCTATGAATCGCACCCAAAAGTCAGTCCATCCCTCCAGCCACCTTCCCTCCAATAACAACTTAAAAGCTACATGTGAACACCAGGAACTCTGTTCCGTTCCTTACTACAGGAATTTTCTAAGGGAACACTCAATGAAAAGCAGCACTAAATGCACTGTGTGGCAAACACCGCAGGCACTTAACTGGATGAAAAATTCAGGTGCTGCTCAGCCATTCCAAGTCTTGATCTCTCCAAGTCATCCTTAAGGATTATTGCTGTGATTCCCACTTTGCAAGAACTTGCTTTCTGGATTCACATTGAATGTGACCCCAGTGAAGTGCAACTTTTCAAAGTTGATTATTCAATATGAAAACAGGGCTAGGGAAACCAAGCAATAACTGCATCAGTCTATGACTATATCCCACTTATTTGCTCCTCAGGTTCTTGCTGAAGTCCACAACAGTTTTATATATTTATATCACCAATTTCTGCTTCTTTCCAACACCAAAATTAAGTATAAAGAAATATACCACTTTAAAAAAGCCCGAATTATTGAACAGCCACAAAATGTCATTGGAATGCTTCACTTAAAACACAAACAGTTAGAAAAGGAAGCCTGAAACTCCCACTTTGCCCCTGAGCGCTACTCAGACACCCAAGTGTCAAACAGAACTGCAAGAAAGGTACTTCTGGAGTCTCTCATCTATTTCCAAGGTTCAAGCAACTCACATTTGGTCAGGAACACCAGTGCAGAAGGAAGAAGCCAATTAAGGGAAAAACACAACACATTTTCACTAGCTACAAAAGCTGATTTGAAATTCCTTCCAAGTCACAGACAGGACCAGGAGACAGACTCCGCACCTCAGCCCT